GGTCGGCCCGGTGCAGAAACGGCAAATAAACTGGTGTCTGCTTAATTATTTAATTCGCGTGCTCAATTTTCAAAGCAGTCGTTGGACCGCTGCAAACGGCAGTGGCCTGTGCTGGCCGTAGCTTGGGCTTGCAGAGTTCTAAGAGCCAGAGCCAGCTACTTAAATCAACACCCGGCCTGCTCCTGGCCAGCTGGTTTCTGCCGTTTGTTGACTTCTGGCCACATCTTCCGTTTAAATAGCAAACATGCATAGCTTTATGTACATACATACATATATACATATGCGTGCATGCATATACATACATATATATGCATGCCTACAGGAGGAAAAAGATCACTTCTCTTCCAGATGACCAGCTGAAGCCTTAGAGCATGAGATTTGATTTCAGCCATCGTGTGAATGTAGGCGAGCAAATGTTGACAGCTAATTGTAATGTTGAACATTTAACTACAGCATGCTTCCCCATAGGGCTATTCTGTGGTAAATGCTTGTCTCTAGGCGCCGCAAACAGATTTGTGTTTATAAATATGTGCATATATGTATAAAACTGCACTGTGAATAATTTATAACTAACCATATAGTTATATTTTATTATACATATATGTAGGTACAAGTTGATTATAGTGCAGTTTAAAATAAGCTTATTTAAGTGGAATTTTAACAATATTTAAGTTTTGTGAGCTCTCGGTGGTGCTGTGTAATCATACAGAATGGGGGAAAGCCAGATGGAGTATTCAAACCTTATACAAAACTAGTGTGCAAATCAGGACGTTACAGGAGGTTATAGCTGAGTACTAGGAAGGGGAGATAATTTTAGTTAACCTGTTAGATCATAGAATCATAGAATGCTTTGGGTTGGAAGGGACCTTGGGAGATCATCGAGCCCAACCCCCCTGCAGTAAAGATGTACTAGAAAAGTTCAGAAGTCAAGATGGCGGTAGTACTTTGATTTCCATTTGAGTAGGGATATGGAAAGTAAATTTTGATGAAGGGAATAATATGGACTTCTTGGAGAGACGGAAAGAAACTCCAGAACTTAGTGAATGTCTGATGGGAGAATTGAGAACAACAGACATGTACAAAATTCAGAAGGGTAGGATTGAATGGGAGAACAGTGGAGTCAGCAAGAAATTATGAGGGTAGGGAAGGGTTGGCTGGATTTTGATGATCTTGTAAAAGAGAAAAAAGTCCTGGATTCATATGTCAAGTAGACATCATGAATGTGCATCAATAGCCTGCATCTGAGCGTGTAAGACTTGGGGGGTGGGTGGGGGCAGCTGTTGAAGGGTGACCTGAAAAAGTCCAGAGAAGAGCTCATCTGAAAAAGGATGGTTCAGTGCTTTGAGAATCGAGCCCTTCTATTTTTCTGGGGAAGAGTTTGTAAAGAACTTTTTTTCCCCTGTTTGATCCTCCCCGCATGCTGGAGGAGTTCTCAGCCTGTCATCTTAGTAACAGTATCCTTTGCCACTCAGCATTGTTATCTCCATCCCATCTTAGCGTCTGCCCTGCCGTGCTATATATAATTGTGTTAAAATCTGTGAGAGACATGCAGTGGGGTTTTTTTTGTGTAGCAGTGGTTTGTGCTCATCCTTGTTGTTAAAGCAGCAGCTTCTTTGCTTTGAAGAAGCAGGGGCTGGAGAACCGATTGCTGCTTCACCTGTCATCAGAGCTGCCCAGCACTGGGCTTCTGTTTTGCCTCTGTTGAAATTAACTGTACCCTCCTGTTCAGTTAGTGTCCTTACCTGAACCGGTCCCTGTTCCCACTGTTGGAGAAAACATCTGTAGGTATACAGGCTGTCACTTTAGCTGATGTATTCCATAATTGATTTCAGTGTGTGGTGACCTACTGGAAGGTGATGGCTCCTTGAAAGGTGTGGCCTGGGGCGCTCTGTGCCAGGGTTGCTTTGACATAATAACAGTTGTAAAAACAATTCTGAGAAGTCATGTGAAACTTGGGGGAAAAATTAATCACTTGGTAGGTGAGTCACTAGCTAATTAGACCAAGACATATTTCTCCAGTGAAGGCTGTCTTTTTAAAGTGACCCAAAGTGCTAATGCCAGCTAGCAAAACCTAAATGTTTCTGGTTTCACTGAAGAAGCTCCAAGATCAGGCAGAGGGAAGATTTAGCCAGGTGATACCAGGAACAGGTGCAATCACAGTGATTCCTTCAGGAGAAAAGGGAACAGGAAACAGCCCTGTCAGGCATCTCCTGGAGCTGCACATGCATCTCCAAGGCACTGTAGTTAAGAGATGGACACACAGCAGTTCTGCAGAACACAAGACAGAGGAATCTCAGTATCTTTTATTAGTGGCTTTCTCCCCCCATTAGAGCCCTTTTCCTCATTTCTTAATGTAAAAGACAAGAAGGATAGAGTGAACCAATTTTTTCCTTAATTTTGCAGCAGTTGCGGAACACAGACTTGGCACCTCTTGTGGAAGAGAGCTGCAGATGCATTTTCTCACAACGATTTATTTTAGGACAGGCCTTCTAAACTTTTGGGTTTTTTTAAACCTTAAAGTAAACTGGTCCTGAGCAAATAAAATTGTCTGTTTCTGCTTCAGATTGAGGCTGTTCTTCTTTCTTAACAAGTTATTGTCTGAGATGCTAGGAACCACTTTTTTTATAAAGCACCCAGGAAAACATTAATGGCAGAGGGGAGCTCAGGTCACTTGATATTTTGTTTGTGATTGACTTCAAATTGTCTGGGACACTAAGAAAGTGGGAAGAATTTGATCAATATGGGAACTAACATATGTGCTGAGGATTGTGGTGCTTTAGTCACTTGACCAGGCAGAGTTAAGTTGAAGTTTGTCTTCCTGATCCCAGCTTAGGGCTGGCTCTACACAAACCAGATCTGAGTTAGCAGGGAGCCAGTGTTGCACCAAGATTAAGCATTGTAGTGTTCACAATGACTCTGCAAAGTCTGCATAGTGCTCCCTGCTTTCCCTTCCCCAGCCAGACCTGGGGCAAGGGCTCCAGCGGGCCCTGCCAGAATCTGGTTTTGCAGGACTGTCATTCCCTGCAGTGGACCGGCAAGCAGGGTAGCTGCATGGCGCTGTGCTGGAACTCCTGAGCTCTGCCAGACCCAGGCTGGCTTAGCAGCAAGTCAGCCTAGCTGCCTGCATCCTCAGCACAGCTAATCATAACCCTGTTGAACTGCCCATGGATCATTGAGTTGACTGTGCGTTAATATCTGAGAAGCCAAATCCATCAGTCAGTTTGGATAATTAAACTGCCAAGGGTTCAATTCCAGGCCTGTTAGTAGTTTTGATGATACGAAGTGTTCACTGAATGTATTTTTGCATGCTACTGCACTCAGTCTTATAGACTGTGTGACAAGCTTAAGTATCTCTTTGGTCCTTGATCTCTATGTTGTCTTATCACACACAGCTCCACAAATTATTTTGGTATTTAAGATCAGTTATATCCCATCCTGCTTGTTCTGGTGAAGCTGAAATCAGGGCTTATATGCAAACTTCCCTTCAGACACTGAAGATGTGAATGAAATCTAATTTTTACCTCTTACCTTAGCTGCTGGATAAGGGTGCTTTGAGCTGTTGAATAGCTGTTGTTCCAAACCAGTCAACTGCATTTTAGTCATAGTTCCTATGATCTTTTCCTATAGCTTTTAAAGAGTTCTTAGGTTCTCCAGATCTGCAGGTTCGATGCCAGAGAATAATATAGATAATAGAGATAATAACAATAGGGAAAGTAACTGGAATATCTTGAAATGTCTTTTACTTTTGGGGAATGTTACGCTGAGCTAGAAGTGCAGCCAATGATTACATAGGTATGAAGTAAAACATCACCAGAAGGTGTAATTCCTGGCTCGCTGAAGGCAGTAGAAATTTTGCCGTCGAGGGAAATTCTGGCCTTCTGGAGTTCAAAGGCTCCACAGCCTTAAAACAAACGAACAAAAAAAACCAAAACCCTGGATGCTGTATTCATGACTGTAGGAGTAAGCATCATGGGATGTTTTTTCATTGTATTCAGTAGCTACCCTTGACCTTCTCATTCATAGCAAATTTTAGTGAATGAGTCTTTAGAAATCTGTTCCTTCTTAAAGAGGAAACTGTGCATGAGAAGGTCAAAACAGCTGGAGCCACAGCTGAAATCCAAGTGCGTCAGATTTAACATCACTCCACAGGAAAACATCCTGGAAGGAGGCAAAGCAAAGAGAAGGGTGTAGGTGCTCTCACCATCTCCTGCTCTTGCACATGATGGGAAGGTAGCATGCCTGCAGTCTGGAGCATGGGAATGGTGGGTCCCGTCTCTGATCCAGGTCTCATGGGAAAACCAAAGTCCTTCTAGGGTGGGTCCGTCTTTTTGCAATACTGATAGTTCCTTTTCTCTCTGACAGGGGAACTGTACTCTGGCAAGCTGCTCTCTGTCTGGTGAGTCCTATGCTTTTCTTCCATTTCAAACTACCTAGACAGAACAGAGCTGATGATGGAAATTGGTAATAGGCTTGATTGGGGTTTACTTCTGTCAGTCATGTAATGAAGAAACAGCTGGTGAAATGAGCTGTGTTTCCATGCGAGTGCCTCCCTTGCCTAATGTACATGCTTCCCAATCCGTTAGGCTCTGGTGAAGATTTCACAGCAGCAGCATGGTGTATTTCAAGCATTGCAGTGCTTGAAACACATGCTCTTGCAGAGCCTAGCTCTCTAATAAATTCTTTGAAAGTGATGGGTGAATGTTAAGTGACATGTCAAATCTAGTATGCCTGTGAACTCCTCTTCAGTGCTTAAACTGGATTTTCCCAGAGGTCTGTTTTTTCTAGCTGTACTGTGTTTATATAGCATTACATCACCCACTTCTGAATCCACTGTGAGAAACCAGTTAAATCTGCTTACCTTTTCCGGTTTCTAGAGTTGCAATATCAGCTCTTTAGTAGGGGTTGGTGTCAAGATTGTATCACTTGTTTTAAAAATCAAGTGGGGAAATGGTTCTTCCTTCTGGCGTTGTGTGATTGAGATAATTATGTTCTCCAGTTGCTACGCTGACTCTCTTTAAGATCAGTCTGGAAAACTGCCCAATGTCATGAAAGAGACAAAGGGCAGGAGTTCAGTTTGTAATAAAAATTGTGGTGTCAGCACATGTGAGCAGTGTGGGAGGGGGACAATGGGGTATGTGAAACTGGGAAGCTAATGCAAGTACCTCCCTGTTGTGAGTTTTGAGAAAAAAGTGTTCTTGGGACGGGGTAGACAGAGAAGAGCGATGATGGTGGCTTGCTACTCTGCCCTACACCCTGTTTTCATTCTTTCTTTCCTCCCTACCTGTCCATGCAACTGTGAGGCTTCTTAGGGATGCTTCTTAGGGGACTGATGCCTCGCTCCTATTAGGAACCCCTTTGTATTGGTGAAGATAACTTAGCAGCAGCTGAGGTTTTAGCAGTCCTCATAGCTGTTCCCTGGTTTTGTTCTAAGTTGGGTAGCTGCTGCTTTGTTTGCTCTTTTCCGAGTTATCCTTATTACCTTTGAGGTCAAAATATAACTGGTTTTCCCATCTCTATAAATCTAGATGAAGACAGGACCATGCTTCTTGGGAAGCTCTGGGCAGGTTTGATGGCACTGAGGTGTCTCTATATGGCTATATTCCCCACTTAGTCCCAAGCTTCTTTCAGGGTGGACAGTGGTGTCCTCTGCACTCTTTTCCCTGACAGGGACACTTGAGGGCTGGACGGCTGGATAACGTTCCTGTGTGGTAACACCATTCTCATTCACAGGTGTGGCTGGGAGCCAGGGACTGGCTTACACCAACAGCAGGAAGCTTGTGTAAGTATCTTCAGGAAAACTGTGATGTGGAGAGGCTGGGGCTGCTCTAGCCCTGATAAGATTTGCGTGCTGGCAGGCAGAATATGGTTGGCTATCATAAAATCCCTGTGCCCATTGCAGGAGCATGGAGCTAGCCCTAACAAAATCTAGGTTTTCCAGGTCGGGTACTGTGGCATGCTTAAAGAAAATAAGTTTTGTTTGGAACCAGATACTGAGGCAGAGAAGGGACAGGAATGAGGAGACTGGTGAAAAACAGATCTCTGCCCTTTGATTGTCTGACTAGAAGTCTTGTTTGCTCTATGGTGGCCTCCTGGTAGGATTTCTGTCAGAAGAAGTGGGGTGGTTCAGGGAGCTGTTGTTCATATGGCAAGGTTTGCATTGCTGAGGTGGTCTTGTAAAAACGTTTGCTTCAGGTTTCCAAATGTGATGTCAGTAGGTATAAAAAACATCCTTTGGAACACTAGGATTGCCAGCTCCCTGTGAAGTGACATGGTGAAGAGAAATAGCTGTCTCTTGGATGTGTTGCCATGGGCAATTTATGGTGCTCTCTTTTCTCTGAAGCAATCTAGCAGCTTCTGTAGAGATGACAGTCCTGATCTGGAGGTAAAAAATGGTTACTGTATTAGTCTTGGGTGTAGGGTGGGCTGGCTAGGTCAGCCTTTTATCAGCATTTAAACCACAGGTGTTCCGTTGGGTTGTCTCCCTAAATTAAAATTCCATAAATGTCAGTTCTCACTGAGTTTCTGAGAGCACTAGTGATGGTAAGCTGTAATGTTTCCTTTCTTAGTGGGATTGTTGCAGCTTGAACAGTAAGTAGGAGTCCCTTGGAACAAATAGATCAGAACAGCTGAGCAGCCTTTCAGATCAGTTAAGCAAATGTAAATTCTGTGCTTGAGCTTGGTGTTGGCAGCCTACTACTGTGTTCATATCTTTCTCTCTTTCTGTAGAGTAAATAGCTCCAGTGTCTTCACTGTCCGTTACTTCAGAACAACTGCAGTACGTAGTAAGTAAAAAGTCAGCAGTCAGCAGGATGGCTCTTGTGCTACCTGTTGCCATCCTGACAACAGCTGAAGCTACTTCTTCCATCCTTGGTCTAGGCCCACTGCTGTCCTGCCTCAATGGATGGCTGAGGGTTTACGTCCCGCGGCCCTAAAGATTTTGTCTGGCATTCTTGTCACGACATGACTTTCAGTGAGATGGGGATTTCTCTTGTGTTTAAATGTTAATCAGTGTTAAAGCAAGGAGAAGGCCGACGTGATGTCTGTTGACCGTCCCCCTCTAGTAGAGTCCTGATGACGAGAATGAAGCAATGCTGTAAGTTTTGAGCTCTGAATGCGTTCAAGTCTGTCTGTCTCTCTCACAGGGGATGACGTGGTTACAGTGAACACACCAGCCTTTGCAGAGTCAGTCACAGAAGGAGATGTCAGGTGGGAGAAAGGTAAGCAGTTGCCTCTTCCCTGAAATTCTCAGCACCATTGCTGCTGCACTGGACAGCTCAGGGATGGATTGTAGTTCACTGGCTGACAGCCTGCTCTGTGCCTTTCAGTCTGTGACAAATGAGGCAGTTAATTGCAGTTCTAAGGGGTAAGGATTGCAGTTACTGCCTTGGCACCTCTCTGTCATGGGTAACATTGGGTGAAGGGTGATGTCTAAACTGGAATCAGACTTGTGCAGTAGATTGATTGTTTGAGGTAGACTTTTCTGTAGAAGTTGTGGAGAACAGGGGTGAGAAAATTCTGGGTTAGTAAGGGAGACTGCTGTGGGTTAAGAGGGGAGGCCGGAGCACACCTTCCTCCTCACAGTGGTCTTCATATCTATCATTCAGCTGTTGGAGACACAGTGGCAGAAGATGAAGTGGTGTGTGAGATTGAAACAGACAAGGTAGGAGTTTTCTGGACCAAAACTTTTTCTAGTTCTGTAGCAGGTACCCGGTATGGCTCCTCTCCTGCTAAGAGCTCCTAGAGCCTGCAGGTCCTGCCTGTGTCTCCTGCTCCTTTCATGGAGGAAAGCTTTTCTCATCTAATGTGAAAGCTGGCTGTGCCTTACGTGAGAATTCTTTGATAACTCTTCCTTCCTCATGCATTTGATTAAGCATCAGTGGTGCTGATGTTTGTTGGAGCTGCAATTCCACTCCTCCTTCCAATTTTGGTGCTCTAAGCTTTGAAACCTGTTCATGTTTAAACAGAGGACAAATCTGCAGAGCCATAGGATGTCTTCATATTGCTTTAAATTTAGCCTTTAAGTTTACTCACTCCTTAAAGGACTCTTAAGCTTTGAAGTTCTTCCTAAAACTCCCTGCCAAGTTCTGCTTTTAGTGTTGCTGTCACAAAGATGCTGGCAGTGGGTCAATTCTTGATTGTGCCCTGGAGCAGGAAGATCAGGCTATATGTTACACTGCCAGCATCTCCTAAAACTTCTAAGTATTGGCACAAAATCCCGGTGGAGGGTGTGAAAACTGGTGCGAGACAGAGCCTCTGTCTGTGCCAAATTACAATGTGTATCTGCACATATTGGCATCTTCTCTTGGGCACTTGTTCTCCATCCAGTGTCTGGGGGAATTTCATTGATTTTCCTTTTTGCAGACATCAGTGCAAGTTCCAGCCCCAGCAGCTGGTGTGATTGAGGCCCTTCTGGTACCTGATGGTGGCAAAGTGGAAGGGGGGACACCTCTGTTCAAACTCAGGAAAACTGGAGGTAAGTCAGGCATGTATAACTTGCACAGGCCTTCCTGTTTCCACCAGTGTTTTTCTGAAGATGGAAGCAAGGCATTTAGAGGGATCCTTAGAAAGGTTAAATGCTGCATCTGCCACTGTAGCTGGAAGAAAATACTCCTATTCTGTTGTCCATTAGAAAAGCATAGTTTTAGTCCTTCTGAGGGTGGAACTTTCCTTTTGCTCCCTCTGGAGGAAACTGCAGCTCTAAGCTAAAATTAGTTGAGAATTCCCTTGATAGAACTCCCTTCTCTGCCCTCTTCTCTTTAGCGTCCTGTCTCAGGCACAGCGAGGAGATCTAGGGTGTCAGTGAGTAAAACACTTTCACCATGGGATCCTCTTGTGGTGGCTCCTATGAGTTCAGTAGTGCTGAGAACATAAATGCATTCTGCTGGAGGGTTAACTTTTATCAGGTTGGTTGGACTCGGAGATCCCTGACAGTGGAAGCTGTCGTTGCCCTTACGGTTATTCCTTGTCTTTCAGCTGCTCCTGCCAAGGCCAAACCAGCAGCAGCCCCTCCTCCTCCTGCAGCCCCTGAACCTGTAGCTGCGGCTGTTCCTCCCCCTGCTGCAGCACCAATTCCCACTACAATGCCACCAGTGCCGCCTGTGTCAACTCAGCCCATGGACAGCAAACCAGGTGAGGCAACAGCTGTTTTCTCCTATTTTCAAGCCTCTCTTTCTTGGGTAGAGCGTGCAAGGTTAAAGATGGCAAACAGTCTGGCGTTTATGGTGAAGGCCTCCCCGCATTATTGCCCTGCATGCTCCAGACTGGAGACCTCAGCTATGCCTGGTACTTGTGCAGCCCAATTCAAGGCTGCTTCCGTGCTGTGTTGCTTGAGCAAGAAGCTCAAACAGGCTTTCTACCTCAGGGCGTTGCAATCAAGCCCTGGCTTCCCTTTTTGACTGATGTGTTCTTTACCCTCAGTGTCTGCGGTGAAGCCAGCTGCAGCCCCAGCGGCAGCCCCTCCTGGGGAGGCAGTGCCCAGCAAAGGTGCCAGATCAGAGCATAGGGTAAGCTGTGGGAATAGGGTCCTTGCCAGCACTTCTGTTGCTGGGTGACAACTTATTCTGGCATAAGCCATGAGCTTTCCAGATATGTCCGTATCCACCTGTCCACACCCAGCTCGGGGGGGCTGGGACAGATGGGGAAATGCTCTACGTGAGGCCACCACTTAGGCGTGGGGTAGAGGAAGAGCCGGGTCCAGTCTGACACAGGTCTTTCCTAGGCAAAAGTACTGACTGAGTACAGAAGGCTCAGTGTGATCTGCTGGCTCTGACCACAAGCCCTCAGCAAAGGACTGAGGCTGCTGCACCTGCCTTGTGAGTTCTTAAGAGAACGTGGTTGAGCAGCCTGCTTTCTTATCAGTCTTGCTCTTCCCACATTAGCTTCATGCTGGAAACTGTGCATTGAGCGAAATCAGCTCCCTAGCCTGTCACACTCTTCAGAGAGACCTGGAGTGAAAACCTTGGCCCTTGGCATCCATTACTAGTCAACCAGATGGCAAGAAGAAGGATCTTTTGAGTTTCTTCAGTATTTTGCCCCTTGGATGAACTTGAGGCAGGTTCTGCTTATGTCTTTTTAATTTTCAGGTGAAAATGAATAGGATGCGTCAGCGTATTGCTCAGCGGCTGAAAGAGGCTCAGAATACTTGTGCCATGCTGACCACTTTCAATGAGATCGATATGAGGTGAGGAGCAGATCTCTTTTTCCTTTTACAAGCAGTAATAGATGAAGGCAGTCATCTTTAAATAGCAGCCAAGACCTTGCTGATTCTCTTTAGAGAGATTGGCAACACGTCTTTAGGACCTCTTTCTTAGGTGTGTACCACTGTCTACACAGCTTCATCAGGGCCATGTTGGTGTTGTGGTGTGAGGGGTACGTAGCTTCCTAACAGCCTGTCGCTCCTCAGGAGTCATCTGCTGCTTGTCAAAGGGGCAACCTGGTTCTTTACCTGTGTGATTCTTGGTTGGGGACTGATAGATGTTGAGCAGAAGAGCAGGAGCAACTAGTGTCACTTGTATAGTGGCTATTAGGAGACACCAAAGTGGAGGACCTGCTTTCTGCCACTCCACCAGGTTACTGCTGTTGGAGGTGGGCATATTTAGCTTCCCATGAGGTGGTTCCCCAGGGCTCATCAGCCTTTCAGGTGAGCAGTACATAGGTCTGAGGCCCTTGCTGTCGGATGGTGCAGCTTTCCAGAGACAAACTAGCATTCTTCCCCATCCCCTCCAGGCAGGTTGGGGGTCTTCTGACTCAAGTGCTTGCAAGGACTGAGCGGGCTAATGGCTTTGGAGGGTGGGCAGCTTATGTTACAGTGCATTAAGGGGAAATTGTGTCCAAATCAAATTGCCTTGTGAAATCCTATTCTGCTCCTTAAGACAAAACATGTAAATATTTGGGTCTCAGAACAATAAGGTTGGCAAAATAGTCTTGATTGGAGGGGAAGTGCTGCAGCTTTATCTCCTCTCAGAGGCTCATTGAGGTGTCACTTTACACTGGCCTCAGGCTCTCATTTCTATCTGGTAATCTGGTTTGGATTGATTGCTGCGAGGTTGACTCGTGAGGGCCTGTGCTGGGGCCTCCTGCTTCCCGTGGGGGGTCAGTGTCTGAAAGGAGGAAGCCATAATGAGCCAGTTTCAGAGCAAACCTCGTCCTCATTGCTGCAGTCCTTGTGTCTTGGGAGGCACTAATGTCTTTGGGTCGTAATCCTAGCCCTAAACAAGGTTAGGTGCAGGAAAACAAACACTCTAAACCATGGAGACCCCTGCCCCTTGCTGAAACTGTGTCTTCAAAGACTCAAGGTCTCTGGAGGGGAGAGGGATGGACTGTGCAATTCCACAGCATCTGGTATTAGCCTGGAACAGGCAGAGCTTGTAACCGCAGCTTGGTTGACTTTTTGTAAATGGCCTCAATCCTGATAAATAGAAGCAGTGGGGAAACATGATTACTCTGGTTGAGGGCTGTGGGTGGGCTGGCATCTGTGACCATAGCACCTGGGAAGATTTCTTTCATTTCACTCAACTCCCAAAGCCAAAGAGTTGGGTGCAGAGGCATTGTCATGCTGGCCGGTGCTGGACTCTCACAATGGTTGAAGTCTTTTGCCTCCATCACCATGTGCATCTTTTCTGCTCTTGGCATTTCCTGTTTTTTCACCCTTCCAGGGTTCGCCCAGCCACACCTGGAGTTGCTGTCTGGTGCCACACTGGTATTGGCAGCGGTGTCTCCCAAGAATTAGTGGCAACATCAGGCCTAAGCAGGAAATATGCTGTGCCCCATCTTGCTTTTGTGCTTGACAGTGTGGGCCAAGCAAATTAACCCTGTCCTTTTGAGTTTGTGGTCCAGGACTGGTTCCTGTTAGATTCTTTGGTGGAGTCCCTTGAGCCACCCTCAGCCCATTTCACCTGTGACATTTGAAGGATTTTTCAGCAGACTGGGGGTTTGCCAGTTGGTGGTGCAGGTTTGCAGTCCTTGGGACTGGCACTGAAATCTGTTATGGAGTGAGGGAACAGTGTTTTCTTGGACTCCATGCTGACCAGCGTTATCATGTGTTTTGCAGCAACATCCGGGAGATGAGAGCCGTACACAAGGATCCCTTCCTGAAAAAGCACAACCTGAAGCTAGGTTTCATGTCAGCTTTTGTGAAAGCTGCAGCTTTTGCTCTGCAGGACCAGCCCGTTGTGAATGCAGGTGAGCAGTGACCCTTGCTGCTGAGTTGCATATCTCACCAGTGAACATGGCAGAGTGGGGGAAAGCAGGTGGCCAAGTCCATGGCAGGGCTAATAGCTTGGGCAAGCAAGTCAAATATGCAGAAAAAAGTGGGGACAGTCCTACGTGCTGCAGCTGATTTTGCTCATTCCACTTATGTAGGTAGACAGCTTGCCAAGAGGGGCTCTATTAGGAAGGGGTTGCCAGGAGTGGGGCTGGGGCCATGCATACACAGTCTGCAGAGGGAAGAGCCTGCTGATTGGTGTAGAGAGGTAGCTGCTGTAGGTGGGGTGCAGTTCCTGGAGCGATGTCAGAGGTGCTTGCTCAAACCCAGAAGAGGAGAATAACCAAGGGGGTGTCTGAGGGGGACTGACCTATCTGGACTCTTTCCTTTCTGTCTATCCTGATGCTTCTCCCACAGGTGCAGTGAGGGTTCATTCTTCTCTGGAGTTATGTTTAAACTAGAGATGAACAAGTTGTTACGATTTTGTGGCTACTTCTGGCCTCTTGAGCCCTTGATCTTGGGTACTGCATGTGTAACAGTTTTTTTTCTCCTTCTAGTGATTGATGACACGACCAAAGAGATTGTGTACAGGGACTATGTGGACATCAGTGTTGCTGTAGCAACTCCCCGGGTAGGTACCTTGGATGCTTTGGCCGTGGTTCCTGCAGCCTCAGGTCTGGGATGATCATATACTTTGAGCCAACTCAGCTTTGAGCTCCTCTGCAGTGGAAACTTACTGATGAGACTGATTTTCTAAATGAGACATCTGATACATTGTGGACTGCTGAGAAGGGTTTTGGGAGAAGACCAAGGACCAAGAATAATCTGCCGCTGTACTAGGAGATGTAGTAACAAGGTCAATATAGATCTCGGTGGTTAATGAGTAGGGCCAGGTTAGGGAAACTCTTTTTTTCATGGACCCATGAGGATGCGGCATAGACAGTAAAAGCTTTGCATGTCCTGTCCTTTGGCTAATCCTGCTGTGTTGTCCCACCATTTGCTGCTTCAAAGAGATGTTTCTGGCCAGGGAGAGTATGGGGTGGAGATACAGATGTTGAATTAGTTGGTTCTGTTGTGAGGCAGAGGTTTGGCCAGGACTGAAGTTCTGTCACTGTTCCAAACATCCAGGGGAGGTCCAGCACAAAGGGACTCTGCTCTTCTCACAGAGAGAAAGAGGTGGCAACTGAACTCTGCCCAGTGCCTCACCTGCTTTTATGGACGTGGAGCTGGATCCAGACAGGCTTGGTTGATTTCATGAGATGGGCTTACAGAGGCAAAGAAGATGTCTCATTTACAGTGTTGGCCCTTGGTGTGTGTTGTGCCAGGTTTCCCAGCAGGCTGCCAGGGTGTGAGGCAGCTCTGCCAACCACCTGCTGTGGGCTGAGGACAAGGCAGGAACTCTGCTGGGCTGCGGCCAGGCTCCTGCCCAATAACAGTTACCCGTGTGTTGCTGCGGTGAATTTGCTGATCATGCACTTTGCTTCTCCCTAGGGTCTTGTGGTCCCTGTCGTTAGGAATGTAGAAAACATGAACTTTGCCGATATAGAACGTGCTATCTACGAGTTGGGGGAGAAGGTAAGGGAAGTTGGAGGTTTTTCTGAAAAGGATTGTGAGGAATGGGAAGAATTGGGGGTGCTGGATGGGCATGAATTGATTCAGTCCCTCTGTGTTGTCATCTCTGACCTCTAACACACTGAGTTGTGCTGTGGGGAGCGATCCAGTTACAGCTGTAGCTGTGCCTGTGCCTTACAGGACAGGCCTATCTACTTGTCACCCTTCCAGAAGACTGCACCTATGCATTGGTGACATGGTGTGTCTTCACCTTTGTCTTTAGAGGCCAAAGCTTAACTGCCCTGGGGTAGAAGTCCCTGTGTCTGTGTCCTGCAAAAGCCAGAGTTGGAAGCAAAGGCAAGAGAATCCTTCCCCAAAGCCAGTAAATGTTCAGATCTAAAGACAGGATGCATTTTCAAGCAATTCGTGCTGGGTTTCAGCTGAGCAGATCAATAAGTGAAGCTCTTGCCCATCAGCATTTATTCCTGGAGAGGGTGAATGCCCAGACCCTTGTCCTTTGCCTTCTGTGATCTGTGTGCCTTTCTAAGACCTTATTTTTTCTTTTAGGCACGGAAAAATGAACTGGCCATTGAAGACATGGATGGCGGCACTTTCACAATCAGCAACGGAGGGGTTTTTGGGTCGCTCTTTGGGACACCTATCATTAACCCGCCCCAGTCTGCCATCTTAGGCATGCATGCCATCTTTGACAGGCCTGTGGCTGTTGGAGGCAAGGTAGGTGGAGCTGCACAGGAGGTTTCAGGGAACAGAGGGGTGGGCTCAGCAGGATGAGGACCATAGCCCATATGCTTTTTCTAGGGGGGTGGTGTCAAATTCTAAAAGGCTTTACTGTGAAGGAGGAGCAGAGATTAATGGGTGTAGGGCAGCTTTGCCGGCACAGGTACTTGCCTGGGGGGTGGCAGGGGCCCTTGTCCTATATGTGACGGGGAGAACTGGATAATCTGCTTAGCTGTGGGGAGGAAAAGGAGGAGGCTGTAGCCTTTGTGATGGAGAACAGCTCCAGAAAGTTACCTAGTCTTGTGTGGTGTGGACCCAGCCTGGGTGGCGGTCACTGCCTGGGTGAGTGAGTGTGGGTGGGTAATCCTGCCAGGCAGGACACATCCAGGAGGGCCTGAGTCCTGGATTCAGGACAGGAAAAAGCCAGGTCCTCCCTGAATTCACAGGAGGGCGTCATGCAGGCAGTAAGGCTGAGCTCACTAATGCCTGTCTTATTCCTCCCCTTCAGATCGAGGTGCGGCCCATGATGTATGTGGCGCTGACATACGATCACCGGCTGATTGACGGCAGAGAGGCAGTGACTTTCCTGCGCAAGATCAAGGCAGCGGTGGAGGATCCCCGCGTGCTGCTGCTCGACCTGTAGAGCAGCCGCACCCCCACGCAACCCACCCAGGGCAGGGCCGCAGCACCAGCAGGGGCGATGCAGGGCATTCAGGAACTGGCAGGGGTCATTCCAGTCTCCCTCCCTCCGCTGTGATCGGAGCTGTCCCAGAGGGAATTGTGGGGATAGCTCCTACCTCCTTTCCTGTTCTGTTTAATGAACGTTCAGTTTCTCACGAGGATTGCTGTGCAGTGGGCCAACCACTGAATGGCACTGCCTTTCCAGAGCCATCTATATGGCATCCTCTCCCTCACAGCACCAAACTCTCACCTCTAGCTTGTCCTATACCAGTGGAAACTGCTTGCTGCTGCTGTGCTAGGGTACCCTTCCCTGCCACTCCAAGGCGGGTTCAGCTTTATTTCCTAGCACTGAGGTTCCTGGGAGGGAGAGGAAAGGCTACTGTTCTGTCCCTGTTTTGCTTGAAAATATTTCACACCCATCTGCCTTGCGAGAGCAGTCTGGGGACCCCCAGGCCACTTGCAGCAGAGGTTTTAATCAGAGCAGGACTTGCGGTAGGTGTCACGCCTCTGGCAGTGCCCTAGTTACACTCCCTTCACAGACAGGAATGCAGTGGTGGCAGCTCCCCTGCTTTCCCTTAGAGATCGTTTGTCTCTCTCCAGCCTGGTCACTGTGGTGTGAATGTTCATGTCTGGGTGGGCAAAGCCCATGGAGGTAGCACTGTTCCTGGGGGGGACAACCCTTTCACCATTACATGCCCGACACGCTGGTAAGAACCAGCCCCTAGCAGCTCTCCTTCAATTACGGCTCACTGACGGTGGATCCGACTGCTGGCTTCCTGCGTGCGAAGGCTTGGCCTGCTACCAGCAAAGAGACAGCTGGGGAAGGGCCAGGTCTTTAAATGTAATGTATATCCCAGCCCAAGGCTGCTGGTTTTGGGGGGAGGGGGGCAGTCCTTAATCTGATAGCGCACACATGTATTGGGGAGTGAGGGGGTTGCTAGTGCCTGCAGAGTCTATTACTCTTACCCTCTACACAGAACTTGTAACTAAAATATTTAACACAGCGGATTTTAAATGAAATAAAACTGGGCAATGACTGTGAGGTGGGGGTGTGTTTGAGGGAGCGAGCAGCAGCTCCTGGGTGAGGACTCTGGTGTCAGCAGCATCCCTAGTGTAGCATAAGAAGCCTGATGGTGAGAGAGAAGAGGGAATGGGAGCTGGGCCCGTCCCTGGTGGTACTAAATTGAGGCTTCTCTGGCTGTGAATTCCAATGTCTTCAAACCCTCTTTGGCACAGAGTTGGCTCTTCCCAGCAAAGATGAGGTTTCCAGGGCTGGAAATCATCCTTTTTGTGGTCTAGCAACAGAACTGTTACGGACAGCAAGGAAATCCCAGTATTTGCTAAATGGCATGATGGCCGAGAGGGAGATCTGGGACAGGCTCTTAAAGTACAGGTGTGGAGACAGTTTGTTTTTTCCCCGATACAATGGGAGTGTTGTAAATCATGAGAGTAGGAAAAAGGCTGTTAAAGGTTGCAGAGGAAGAAGGGAGGTAAGATCAAAGAACTGTAAAGCAAAAGCTGTCTGTGGTGCTGAGCACATTTCCCCAAGGAGCTGTCCCTGTTGGAACAATAAGAAATCGTTCCTGGATCACGGCAGGGTTTTTCCAGCTCTGACATCAACTTCAGAGAAAGGTTTGCCCTTTCCAACTATGGGTGAGGAAGGCAGCCCCTTTTAACAGAAAACCATTCCACTCAGCTGGCGTGCTGACAAAAGGGAGAGCAGTTCCTAGTACTGGTTCCTATGGCTTCCTGGCAGCTATGGACAAGCCTGTGCGTGGAGTCAGCTTTCCCCTGACTGCCCCTGGTTGAGGTAGAAGGTTAGGAGGAGAGAGAGGAAAAAACCCTTCCCTGTGCTGTAAAGGAAGGGCAAGGAGTCTAGCTGCTCTTGCACGAATAAATTGAATGAAAGAGAAGGTTCTGATCAAAAAATGCTGCTAGCACCCAGTTCCCTGTGCTGGTTTAGGATACAGGGGGCCCGCCTTGACTTTGTACATGAGCCTGGGGAAGGGCAATGCCTGTATTCTGTCTGGAGCTGCAATAAATGAGGCCTTTGAACTACCCAGGGAGTGAATGTACAGTCAAGCTCTTAAAATGATGCAGCCTAGCAAACTGCTTTATTTAGTCTGCCCTGTTGGGGCTTGCTGTAGGAGGGTCGTGGAGCTGCTGTGCTTGAAGCTTCTTTTTTTGACCTTCCTGGGTGATGCCCAGGGCGCTCTGTTGCAGGAAGGTATGCTGGGGCTTTGGCCGCAGGCCTGCGGGTCAGTCCTGCTGACCCCCAAGTCACAGGACTAGGAGGCTGGCGGCCAGCGGGGGAGCCTGCTGCTGGAGGGTTCAGCCAGTGCAGGCTGCCCTAGAGAGGAAAAGACCCAGGCTTAGCTGCTCCCAGCATCTGGCCTGCGCTGGCATTAGCGGTCAGCTCCTTGGTTCCTCCTCTGGCTTCTGCACAGCCTTTGCGGTGTCCCCTGCCTCTGCTGGGGCAGGAGATGAGTTTCTCCCGGGCTCTGCTTCCCTCTGGTGGACAAGCCTGAGGGCCGGGCTGAGGCAGCACGAGCAGGGCCTTGCTGCTGCTGGCAAGCAAGAGCTGGAACCAGCTAGCCACAGAAAAGTTTCACTGGTGCCAGTAATTCCTTATTACCAGGGACGAGTGAGCAATGGGAGGGAGCGCCAAAACTACACCGCTGCCATTGCTAGCTTGTCCTTCAGCCTATGGCTTTGGCTTGCACAAATGAGCACAGCAGCTTCTGCCTTGGGCTGTTAGCAGACATCTTTTGTTCATGCTTCTTTTTTTTTCTTTTCATCCTGGTTTGTATTTACTCTTATCCTCCTTCCATCAGTGCTGGTTCTCAGAGTTCCTCCCTTTAACCTCTTGCTGTTTGCTCTACCAGGAATGACGGTGCTCAAAGCACAGCAACAAGGGCAGTGGGGCTGCTGTCCTGCCAGCAGAAAGGAGCACCTAGGCACAGGAGGCTGGAGCCAGAATGGGTAACAACAACAACAGGCAAGGCTGGAAGAGAACAGGCACTCTGTGCATTTTCCCAACTCCAAGCTGCAGCCGCATGGCGGTGCAGCTCCAAGAGGCCGTGAGGCAGGCAGGGGCACCAGGGGAGATAGCCAGGCACGTGGTGCCACCTTCTGGGTTTTGGCTGCAGGGTGCTGACAGCCAGCAGGCAACACCAACCCAGGGCTCCCACACAGGTTTGAGACAGATTTGGGGCCCTCCTTGTTCAGCCCAGGCCTCCCTGGCCCAGCTCAGAAACAAAAGGACACTTCTGCAAGCGATAACGAGTGGTTTATTCTTTTCAGAGGGCCAGGGGAGAAGAGCAGAGGGCTCCCTCCTGTCTTGCCCTGCAGCAGGCATTACACAGGCAGCCAGGGACGGGCACAGACCCCAGGCTCAGGAACCAGCCAGCAAGGCCTGGAGGAGATGCACTTGGAAGCCACAAAAAAAATAACAGGGCAGGGGGTCACTGTGGTAGCAGCAGAGATGAAAACCATAGGGAGGGAGTGCTAGGGTGCAGTGCTAAGCTGAGCAAGGGATGCCCTAGAAGGGGAGCATGGTCTCTCCCCGGGGGTGGGCACCCGGGCTCCCTTTCCCACCAGGGAGGACCTAGAGGAGAAGACAGCCTGGCCCCGACTGCAGCCTCCTCTCAGAAACACCAACAAACACAAGCAGAGACAGAAGAACGTAAGGCTGCAAAAACCTCATGTGTACCCACCCCAGGGCAGCTTGCAGGCAAACCTCCCCCAGCAGGCAGAGCTGCCAGTGCCACCTCTGGTCATGAGTGCCAGCGACAGTGGCTCTGTGCCCAGCTCCCTGCGGGAAGGACAGCCCGCCTAGCCCACCAGCTTGTTCCACAGGATGGTGCTGAAGAAGGAGTGGGACTTCAGCTTCGCCATGCCACCTCCTCCAGAGCCCAAACGTCGCTTTGGATTGTACTGCAGGAGCTGCAGAGAGAGGGGATGGGACAGCAGGATGGGGAGATGGGGACACTGGAGAAGCTACCTGGGCTGCACCCTCCAGCCCCATCCTCCCTCCCATGCACCCAAGCCCCTCACCTCAGTGAGCAGCGATGTAGCGGCCAGGCTCAGCCCCTCTGGCAAATGCAACTGGGTGTGAGGTTGAATCCCTGAAGGGTGGTTTTGGGACAGTGGCTGCAGGAGGTAAAGGTGATGGTAAGCAGAGGCACTGAGGAGGGTAGGAGCACCCTGTTGACCCTTTATCGCCACATAACCCCAACTCAATGCAGCAGAATTTAAAACCTGGGCCCTTGAACACCCAGAGACCATCCACAGGCACTAGGAATCACACGCCTGAAGTAACCTGGCACAGTGCTGAGGTGCCAGCAGGGCAAGGCACCATCCCAGCCCTGCATGACAGGGAGCTCTTGTGCTACAGTGTCACCTCCACCTCCACCCTCCTTGCACAGCTCCTCTGCCTCTTACCACTCCTGTCAGCAACTCATACAAGAGAGCGCCAAAGCTCCAGCAGTCAGCTGCTTCGGTGGGCTCCGTGATCCCCCCGACTTCTGCAGAAAGAGCCAGAGAGGCGTTAAGAGCTGGAGGCAGGGAGCACCAATGGCTGTGCCATGCCAGGCACATCTCACTGCCTGCAGAAGTCCCCTCTCCCCCCATGGGCAGCACTGGCTCGAGGGCAGGAGAAGGCAGGGGACGTGTCCCTTACCTGGGGCACTGTACAGCTCTTCCCGTGCCTGGCTGCAACACTGGGGCTCCACCTCTGTCCACTGGCCAAAGAAGGTGAGACGGACGTGACCTGCAGAGCAGCACCAGAGCCAAAAGCAGGGAGGTTAAGACAAAGCTAGGGACTTTGGTCAGAGCACAAAGCCAAGCCAGATCCCCGCAACTGGGAACAGCCAGGGCACTGCCGTGCCCTGAACACAGAGGCACCGTGCATTTCCTGGCACTGTGCATCCCCCGGCCTCCCAGTGCTTGCTCCAGATGCTCAGCAGGCCTGTGCAGCTGGTGAGACTGGTTAGGTTGGCTCCAAGCTCCCGCAACCTCAGAGCAGGCTGTAGTGAAGAAAGAAGTAGTGCCAAAGGGCAAGTTAGCTTTCCCTTTGCAAATCTCTCTGCATTTTTCTTTTCCCAAGCAATTTGTAGCTCTCCAGTTTGCCCCAGCTGTTGCCAGCTGAGCAGGGGGGTGCACTCAGCTCGCACTGACAGTGGTACCCATGGCTTGAAGAGATGGACAGGCTCCAGAATACCCCAGTGATCAGTAATTACAAGCAGGGGAAAGCTGCAATCCCGCTAACCTCAGGCACAGTTCAGCTGGTCTCAGCTTCCCCGTGCTGGGATTTCCCAGGCAGCCAGCCCCAATATGGGAACAGGGGCAATGCATTCCTGTGGCTGTGGCCCCTGACTCTCCCACTGCTGAGCCATCTCTTGTAATAACTGCTTGGAAATCCCAGCCAAGACCACACTTCCACGTTCAGAAACATCCAAACCTCCCCAGACTCCCACCCTTTCCCCAAAGCAAACTCAAGAAAGTCCGTGTCCCTGGAATGGGGCAAATGGCAGTCTCCCAGCCGAGAGACCAACCTCCTTCTCCTTGGGGCAGCAGCCTGGGGCACTACCTACCAGCTGCATCAAGCAGCAGATTCCTGGGGTTGAGGTCCCGGCACAATACACCCTGTTGGTGAAGTCCCTCTAAGGCCAGGAGGATTTCTGCTGCCCACAGCTGCACCTGCTCCTCCTTCAGAGCCCACGCTCTCCGGCCGTGCCCATGGGAAGCCAGAGACCGGCACTGTCCTGAGAGCGGCTG